GTGATCGCACCAGATGGCTTCGCCTTTGACTGTTTTATCTTCACGTCATCTTAGGTACCCTGCTAGTTTATCGTCATCTTCCTTGGAGTTATTTCTTAAGAAATTTACGTCTATATAGCCAGACGTGTAAGGGGCAACCAAAACGAGTGAGCCTGGAAACGTGCGTGTGGTTGCACCATCCCTGCGCAGTCTTTTCTAAGACTAACAAAAATTATACTTCTGCCCTTGAACAAGTTCTCGAGCATTAAAGACTGCGAAGTGCTCCATGAATTAAATTACTATTATTCTGCCCTTACAGGAACAATGCCTCATTGTTATTCATTCCGACCAATCGAACTTACCTGCATCGTTTAGCTAGTAAATGTTATTCAGGATGCGTCAAGCCCACGTAGCTATTACAGAAGCGTTAATCTTCACTCCTTTTATTCTAAAATTATGCACTATGCACCATGCGTAGCTGCATGCTTCACCCCACAGGTTATCAATGCAGAACCTTGATTGATATGTGGGGTTTAACGTCCCAAAACAACCATATGAATATGAGAGACGCCAAAGTGGAGGGCTGTGGAAATTTCTACCACCTGGGGTTCTTTAACGCGCACCCAAATCTCAGCACACAGGCCTACAACATTTCCGCCTCCATCGGCAATGCAGCCGCCACAGCCGGGATTTGATCCCGCGACCTGCGGGTCAGCAGCCGAATACGTTAGCCACTAGACCACCGTGGCGGGAATTGTTGGAATGAACGTCCCCAATCCGCCATAGGATTGCTAATGAGTTCTGCGGGAACTAGCAAGGTGGCGGAAGGGTTAAAAAAAGGAAAAGACGACAACCAATCTGGGTGATTGTCTTCTTTGCCTTTCTTCCCCACCATATGATTATGAGAGAGGTCATAATGGAGGGCTGCAGAAATTTCGACCCCATGGGGCTCTTCAACGTGCACTTAAATCTAAGCACATAGGCCTCAAGCATTTTAGCCTCCATCGAAAATGAGGCCGCCGCTGCCGGGATTCGATCCCGCGACCTGCGGGTCAGCAGCTGAGTGCCATAGCCACTAGACCACTATCGCTTTCTTTATTTACCTCTCTCTCTCTCAGTACAACATCCACTCTCAGAACCGCACAGAATGTGCCTTCCTTGTACAATGTTGTCAGATACATTGTTACGCAGAAACGCTGATGTTGAGAAAGAATTTGGTGTCCTCATCAGTGCGTCACAGCAAAGAGCGAAGATAATTGAAGTGTGCGTGCATGTACATCCTCTGAGTTCCAAACCAGTTCACATAAACTTCAACGACGATGTTCATTGATTGTAGCTCTGAAATTAACTCAGCCTGTTTGCTTCGTGCTTTTTTCATATTTATGAGAATTTATTTTTGAATTCACACAATCGAATGATATTAAGGTGACAAAAGAGCCAATCATGCATTCGAGGACATCAGCAATGATGATTGGCCAACAGAAGCGTAGTTACAAACAAGCAGTACTGTGAATTCGATGAAGATACTTTTTCAGCCTGCTTTTATTGCATTCATTTTCCAGTCAAGGTCACAAGCGTTGTCATATTTTCAGCCCCTGGCACTGCCTTCGCGACACCGCCGTAAATGCCAGTCGTTATCACTGATATCCGGGCCGCGTTGAAGGTGTCTGATGCCCCATACGTCGTTCGAAAGAATAAAAGTCTTGCACTTGCCAGCCTAAACGTAACGCACGTGCGTAGACCATGATGGTTCTGCCATTTTCCAGCCATTTCCCGCACAACATTTTATTTTTATTTTGTTGGCGCAGGGGACTGCATTCACCGCACAAGCGCGGACAATAGCTCAATTCTCAGTAGTTGGCTTTATTCAGCAGTGTCGCACCATGGTCACTGGCTTTGGTGTGTATCTCTATAAGCTGCAGCTGTGCAATACCAGACCACAACATTGTGTGCGCAAGTCACAGACTTTGTGGATGCGAATCGCAACGTGCGAACAGGCGACCATTGTCATGGGATTACTTGATTCACTCATCACCATGACGCCTGTCATTCTTACATGTCTTGCGAATGCTTCCGTGCTACAGTTTCCTTGTGTTCGTAGCTGCTCATACATCAATTGCCGTTATCAAATAATAAAGATTTTTTAACCAGAAAATTCTGGATGGCTTTTAGGTCTAAAATCAGCTCTAGGCAGCTTTACTGGGTCGTTACTTTGGCAGCATACGACGTTCACAGTACAAATATGCATATAAACTTTTAATATTATGCACGTGAGTTTGTTAACTGCTTATGTCCTGGCACATTGTCGCCGAAAATTTTCTGTAGAGATCACATCAAGTAATAAACATAGCATACAGATAGTTACAGTATGATTTGCGTGAAATTTTTAGTGCATCATAAACAAGTTCACGAAATATAAAAAGCAACTCTAACGGCTGCTACAATGAAAATATCACTCTGTGAACCTCAAAGTAAGCAGGTTTCGGATCCAATAAGAAGTGTAAAATTTGCACACAGTAGGGAATTGCATGAAGATGACGAAACAAAAAGCATAAGGAGTAATGACAAGAAAGTATGAATTTTCCACAACCAAGATTTATGCACGCCATCCTAATGATTTCTACGTGAGACGTAGGGGTATAGACGCAAAAGACAGACATAACTTTCTTTGTGAAACCGTGGGAAATTCAGTAAGTTTGCTTAATTAGTATATTAAGCTTAGTTATTGTTAAGTGCTTTAAGGACATGCTTCCAACAAAAAGCGGTATCGTCCACTTCTCTCCTGTTAATTCATGCTTCCAACATTTAAAAAAAACGCAGCCCGCATTTAGCCCTATTATTCTACCATGCACGCTCAAGCGCCAAGTTGGACTCGCGGAGCTAAACGTTTTTGAGAAGAGCCCAAGGCCACTGCAAACGTTTCCTGCCCGCTGTGTAAATGCGAGTAGGTGAATCACGGGCAGAGTTCTTTTTGCCAAGCCACTCCACAAAACTGGAGAGCAATATACCGGCACGGTATAAGGATTTCGAAGCACCTTGTCCTAAAAATAACGAGCCGGAGCATAGCCGGAAAGACGTTTCCAGGCATGAGTGCCTGTTACGCAGGGAAACGCATTTCTCTTGCGACAGTGGGGCAGGAGAAACTTCCAAGGACGCTCATAGTTCCGTCCCCCTTCCTCTGTACGGTTCATCTACGACGAGCTCGCTCGCAGCAATGATTGCATCATTGCGTTCGTTTTAAGCCGAGATGTGCGTTCGTCGCTGCATTGAATAAAAGCACAACAGACCGCCCTGTTTCATGAAGAGACACCCATGTAGCTTGCACAACCTACCAACATTGTCTCGTAAGTGGATGGAAAACTAATGGATATGAGAAAGCACACGTGTGACTCATACATAGACACATTCAAGAGAGATGTGCAGAGTGCATTCGAGAAAAGGGCAGTCAAAAATTGAGATTAATTTCTCTATCTGGAGCCGCCAACTTTTATTCATGAAAATTTGTGCCGTAAAATATTGTGAATTGCAATCTCATAGGTAGTATTCCAGCACAAGGCATAATACAGGGTTTACACTGAGTACACACGATTCCATTACAGCAGCGAATAAGACCAATATTAAATCAGTGCCGTGGGCAAGAACAAGAACATGCACAAAGAGAAAAGGACTCTTTATGCAACAATCGACTTCGCCTATATATTGTTCTATAGATCAGTAATTCAGTGTATAGAATATTTGATATATCGGAATAATAAAAATATATTTCACAACTGTTCGATGTACGCATTAATTCTTTATACGCGGATGCGATTCTACTACAAAACACACAGTGCTTTGCACAGGAACTCTTGTGATTATGCACCAGTTTCCAGAAATATATATATATATATATATATATATATATATATATTATTCAAAAAAGAATTCTGTGGGTCCGGTGCAAATATAATTAAGAATAAAGGAGCACACTTACGAAAATTTGATAATTGTTTACTCTACGTTTCGTAAGTGCTGTATTTTGTTTACTCTATTTTCGTAAGTGTGCTCCTTTATTCTTACCAAATGGAGATAGTTGCTAACAGCACCTGCTAAGTGGCCAATCACTTATGCTTGCAATTAAACAACGCCAAAGGCACATGTATTGCATTCAGAAAGCGTTCGACTACACGCTGTTTTGCCAATTGCCAGCGAATGTGTTCACTCAAGTTTTTCTGCGAACAGTCCGATAACGAACCAAGTATCAGCTGCATTTTTATTACGAAATCCTGCGAAATACTAACCTGATATTACGAAAATATGCACCAGCATAAGGTGTCTTTTCAGAGGCCTTATCTTGAATACACATTCATATATGTGCACGCGCATTAGGCTTCTACTGCATCTCGTGACAAAGGTGGTACATTTATCGGTATTTTATTTAATACCCCAATGGGACAGTTCGCTGTTAAAGATCATTTTATCAACCATTAGGATACCAGAAATTTAAAAACAAGCTGAATTTAATTGACACTTGTCTGCCACGCTAATTTTTCTAAAAAATATACGCCCGCGAACAACGTGTAGAGGAAGCTACTACAGTGAAACGCTTATTCGTGCTGCGCTCAAAATACTCTTAAACGACGCCAGAGTGGTGAACAAACAGGTGACAAGAAAAATGGGAAATGGTTAAATTTCGTATTTTGATCACTTGAATGCAAACGTCACCCTGCCCACTTTCATGCTGCATCTTCAGCTGTTCGAAATTTGTTTCTATATTGAGAGCACCACGACAACCAAAATTAATGTTTCCACAGAGGTAGCGTTAGGGACAGTGGCTGCGTGAAAAACCACGCATGCAGTATGAATTCTGAGAACTACTCATCAAAGGGGTTGCCTTGTCGCCTTCATCTTTCTTCACTCTCATTCTTCCGAAATGAAGACAGACACCCCTAAGGTTGATTTAAAAGAACCTGATGAATGTTTCCAATATTTACTGCATGGCTATCAATGGAACGAGAGTTGTTCGGTGAGGCGTTATATACCTGAGCACATCCTCGATTCCATTGTTTCTTTCCCCCAGCGGATGAAGCGAATTCCTGCACAGAGACAGCGGACGTTTTACAGGCAAGCGGAGTTCCAGGTTTATCGCACAGATTCAGCTACAGTAGCGACACCATCTCATATGGAAAAACGAGAGTACGAACCGAGATGCAGAGCCATTAATGTAAGTCATCGGCCGGCGGTGAGCATTTGACGGAGGAGACAAACTGTCCGCGTCGCCGATACGATGCGTCACCCACGCCGAACAACATCCATTGAGCGCTCGCAACCGCACAACATCGGCTCGCAAACAAACCAGAGGCGGTAGTTGTCTCCGCGGCCCATTGGGCAACGGCACGTGCTCAGCTGCCAGCGCCGCCGCTGTCGCGCTTTCCTCGTAGCGCGCGCCGCAGGCCTTGCAGTCTCCAAGGTTAAAACATGACGTAGAGCGCGCGCAGGCAAGGACTCGGCCGCCGGAAGGGTCAGCAGGCTGGTCAGACGGGAGGCACCTGCTCCCCTCCCGCCGGCAACACTATCCGCAGCATGGATACTGAGCGCACGCCGTCGCAGAAGTCGAAACTCGAGAACGCTTTGATACTAGAGGCGCGAATAACGACGCTTCTTCATGTGTGTTCTTCACTGGCGTTGGCTTCCGCTCCCGTATGAGCACACGCGCAAATTGACACAAGGCTTCCGCGCAGTGCTCACAAGTCATCGATGTATCGTAGCTGATATAGTATGCTTGTTTTGATTCGACTAATGATAGCAAACCGCTTAGACCTGTAGCTACAATTGAAATTTAAGCCCTTAAGGTACGAGGCCAAGTGATCGAAAACTTTCTTTAAGAAAAGCAATAATAACTGTAAATGATTATTCTGCAATATAAAGCACATTTTTAGGCACATGTGAGCGTTTTAAAGCGAGTCATATTTTGCAATAATTTTTCTTATTTAGAAATTTTATTAAAAGTATGCCTTGTGCGAACACTTGTAACTCAAGTTCCGCTGGTTAAAAAAAATTCATTTTTGGCAGGCACATATTAAAAATTCTGCCCATGCAATGAGCCAAAAAAATAGATCTGGTTAACAGTAAAAATGCAGTAAATAAATAACCCAAAAAGTATGCACTCACACTAATGGCACCTTCGTATAGCAGGCAGCCTCATTAAATGTTCTAACACAATTTCGCTCATTGAGGTTCATTGCAGGACTCACATTGTGATAAGAAAGTGTACAAAAGTTTAATGAAAACTGTTGATTAGCAAAAGAGCTACGATTGTTCGTTTAAGGAAAAATGGCAGAAATATAGGTTTTGAGAAAATTGTCAAAAAAAAAAAGATCTGAAACAGGTGTGGTGCTTACAAATGATACCCGAAAAGGCTAAAATTCTCAATATTTGTCGCCAGTTCCATTGTAGACCTTTTTTTTTAGCTTGTTTTGCAGCAACAGTGACATGACTATAGCTACTCTCATGCTACGGTGCTCATCGTTTTTGAGGCACGCTATTCTATAGTGTATGGGTCAAGCTTGAGCACAATTTGCTTGCAAGCATCATATAGGCTTCTGTTACCATTTTTAAATCACGCACATAATCGATAAAAGTAAGTTTGATAGTTTACAGGCTCACATTAGTGCCTTTGAGCGTGAAAAACACTTATATTACGTTACGCGCTCACTTGGTGAGAAGATTATGACTTTTACGACTAAAATGCTCTGCTGAAAGCACTTTTAGGAAATTATTACATGTTTATTCTTCATATTTGTTCTAAATAACCAACAAAATACTGCATACCAAACTAATTCTATGATAGACTCCCAATTGGCACTCCCAGCTTCGGTTTCATAGGTGATGGGTGCTCGTACATTTTTGCTTGTATCTTTGGAAAAAAAGAACTGCGTATATTGAAGCTTTATGCAGCAAAATGACGGGCAATAAACTGGGAATTTAACACAACTAAAAAGAGGCGAACGACCTTTTGAGAAAAAAACAACTCTTTTTTTCGCCTGACGTCATACCTTACGTCTTTTACAGAGCGAGAAAGAGGCGTCTTTTTTACAAAACCCGTGGCAACAACATCGATGCGCTGGATCATATGCAGCAGAAGGCAAGTCATCAGCAATGCACCAGAGTCTATGCAGCCAGTCCGAATCACCTAATAGATTGGAGAAATAGCGCCGAAACTCTGAGAAGTGCCGGCTGCTGGAAACAATTTCAACCAAGAAAACGTTGCATGTTACAAACTGAAGTGGTAGTTTTTTATTTATTCATTGACTTTTCGGTGCTTAGCATCACAAAGGCGAACATGGGTCTTTAAAATCGATTGCTGAATCAAATTTATCAACAGTGGCATTTAACCGGGCGCCAAGACCTTATTGCAGTGCGGAAGTGCAGTGCGTTTCCACACCGAATCTTCTTAGATGTACATCGTTCTGCTAAAGGGTGAAATTTCGTAACTATGCTGAATATATATTTAGCTGACAAATGTGTAACATCGTTCTGCTAAAGGGTGAAATTTCGTAACTATGCTCAATATATATTTAGCTGACAAATATGTAACATCATTCTGCTAAAGGGTGAAATTTCGTAACTATGCTCAATATATATTTAGCTGACAAATGTGTAACATCGTTCTGCTAAAGGGTGAAATTTCGTAACTATGCTCAATATATATTTAGCTGACAAATATGTAACATCGTTCTGCTAAAGGGTGAAATTTCGTAACTATGCTCAATATATATTTAGCTGACAAATGTGTAACAATTGTAATTTGGTAACTAGACCCTCGGTTGGAATATTTTTTAGAATAAAAAAGTCGTTTCGAAGAGCGAAAGGGTGCGAGTTGCAAAGACATATGAAAGTGTTCACTCTTACGAAAGATCTTGAAAAGAAAAGATATTACTTTAAACTTTTTGAGTATGTTCCTTCTTGCATTTCTTTAGTAATTCCTTATTTTATTCTCAGGCGTCAATAAAATGGGTTAAATTGAAGCTTTGTGTCTAGATCCCTACGTGACCCTCCTATAAAAATGGCTGATACCGCCGCCTGTGGCCACTGCAATGAAAATGCATCTTTCAAACACAGCGTGAGAGTAGAATGGAAACATCAGGAGTTTTTATTTGTTATTTATTTGTTAGTTCAGAGCATTTTTTTTAACTGTATTGGACAGATCAGGAAAGTAGTGAGAAAGTTATGGACAAGGAGCAGGAATCGTGGCAGACCTTAAGCTGAGTGTTAACCTGATCCTACAGTGTCCAGTTTCCATATAGCTGCACAATTGGGCTTGCACAAAGAAAATATACGACCCACCATTTACAACAAGCACTTGCGGAAAGCGCTCTTTTCGTTGATGCAGCGTTGATGGGACACGTGTCGGCCCACTTCACTTCACTAAGCTAAGGGTAAAATTCTTTAGTCAAGAGCAACTTAATGAAAAAACGAGAACGTTACCGAATTTGCCACTCTACTGATATGATTTGGAAATGGTTTCTTGGCCGATTGCGCGTGCTCACATGTACGTCCATTAAAACATCGACCTGTGAAGCCAATGTCGCAGCGCTCAAGTGCAAACGTTATCTTGTAAACAATCGAGCACGCACATTCGACAATACATTGCACGTGTTTATTCCATATTTACATTAACTGAAGGCGTTGGCCGTTAGCTCTAAGTCAAATTCTGGTAGCCTGCCGCTTGCGCGTAACAGGACATCAATGCCTAGTTTCTCTGTCACATAAAGATAGTGTCCTTGCAACACGAACTTTAAGTGGCTTGGGTAAAATAGTTAAAACAGAAAGCCATATAGCAGCCTAGGAATGCGCCCTACAGGTAGGGTTAACTAAATTCTAGTTAATGTTTTCGTGCCAAAACTAGGGTATGGCAATGACGCATGCCGCAGTGGGGGACTGCGATATAATTTAGCTGCGCATCCTTGATGTGCCCCCGACAGAAAATTGTACGCGTGTTGTTGTTGTTTTTTTTTTGCATTTTACTCACATTAAAAACACGGGTTGGAGCGAACTCGTGACGTCATGCTCAGCACGCACCGACCACCCACTAAGCTACAAATGACGAACTTGCCTTTCTAATAAACAAGCATGCATTTGTGCATACTATGCAGTTATTTTTATACTGCTTCTAATTGGCAGCAAACAAAAAAATTGAGGATGGAATGAAGAACTCAAAAAAATAACTATCGCATTGATTGCGCAGGTGCACATACATTGACAATGCTGGAATATTAAAAAGTAGACAGCAATAATCGTACGCGATGGTCAAAGTCAGAGATTTTTTTTTTCAAAATATTAGTAGATGCAATTTGCTTGCGACCACGAATCCCGGCTACGGCGGCCAAATTCTAGATAGAGGCGAAAATGCTTGAGGCCTGAGTGCTTATAAGTAGGCTCGTGGTAAATAACCCAAGGTGCTAGAAATTGCTGGACCCCTCCACTATGGCGTTTCTCATAATTATATGGCCGTTTTGGAATGTTAAACCTCATACGTTATATTATTATTATTATATTTTTGCGACAGCTTATTCTACATTCCGGCTAATTCTAGTGTATTTAAGTTGCTCATCCGCCACACTCCACTTTATATATGTGGCATATCAGTGACGAACTGACAACTTCACGTACTGTTTGGCGCGCTGCGCTTATAATCCGCCTTCCTTGCCCACCAAAGCGTTCATACGCTCCTGCGACTGCCTATCTACCCAACTCCGTAATCCGACATTTTGTTATTCGCCGGCAGCAAGGTTGCTGTCCAGTTGCATTAGTATGCAATAAAGGCAGGCTGTTCGACCAGCTGGCTTCTTCAACGCTGCCTCCCGCACTTACTACTACATTAACAATGCTCAGGCTCGTACGTTAAAGCACCACGGCTGTTATTCGTTAATGCATGGAAGCAGCATACCAAAAAGTCCTGCTAGCACATTCCTAACGTCGCTGTTGCTGATTTTATAAAGATCGCAGATTCAAACACAGACATAATGAATTTGTTAAGCGCTTTTGATACGCAAAGAAGTCAGCTCCTTTAAACATCGACTGCTTATACTAACATTTGCAATTTCATTTGGGTCCTTATAAAATGAAATTGGCTTTTATTTTCTTATTATCACCTCGTGAAATTCATATTTGTGCATTCGGCGGCGTCTTCCGGTTGCGGCATAAGCGCATTCTTGAATCTAAGCTTACCACCCCCTTCCCGCCCAACCTAAGCCCTACTCCCCGACTTGAGATGGTAAAGCCATAGCGCAAAAATGACTAGAGGAGAATGCAGGGCGGGGTTTTCTGCGCTGCATATTATTGTCTCGTCCTTGTACCTTTCACGCAGC